CGTTAGTTTATTCATAAATAAGAAAATTTTCTTAATTCAGTTAACTTTTCTATGAGCTGTAATCACATTGATCGTTTTTATCATCTACTTATTATATTCACTAATCAATATAATTCGAAATTGATTGACCTTATGGAAAAATTACAATTATCACTATATTGAAATATTCCGATTACAAATGTACTATTATTAACTAGTTAATAAATGTGTTACTAATACATGAACGGTAATCACATTATTTTTAATCTACAATTACTAGATTAGTGTTCATTAGATGACAAAATGCTGTCTAACTTTTCTTAACGTTTATATCTAATAAACGTTAGAAATAAGTTTACAAAAACATAAACGATAATCCCATTAGACATTAATTTCGATTATTAATCTCTAAGGGATATCTTAATCACTTGACCTTTGCCATGGAAAAGATGTGAAAAACAGAAATAATGTAAATCAAATTGTGGGTGGCCCTGAAAAGGGCCTTTATTCGTTCTCGATTTAGTTGGAAATGGCGCCGCACATAGGGCAATGAACTGTTCGGATGTTTGGTGATGGGTCGTAGCCACAGAAGGTATGAAACATAGCGTCACATCTACAGAAAACCCAATCAACCGTATCATTTGTTTCACAAGGCGGCTGCGCAAGATTACAGATATCGCATACTCTATCTTCTTCATCCTCTTCTTCACTTTGGATGTCCCGTTCAGTTAACTCCTCAGAGTTGATACTATATATTTCCTCCTCAGGTTGACTGAGCGTATCATCCAAATCAACAGGTCTTCCTTGTATAAACGGTTGTGTAACGTGAGTCGACGTTGTTGGCTGGGCGTACAAATCAAACGATGTTGTTGATAGTCCACCGTGTACTAGGAAGCGATGAAGTAAAGTGATTTGTTCGTCAGACATTCGCGTTACTATATCTCGAACTTCATTCCTCAAGTTCGGCTGACTCAATTGCACTGGGATGTAATTTTCAACTGCGATATGAGTCAAATAAGCATCGCTGTGTAACCACCGGTCACAAATGGACTGTACATTCACATCAGTATTACTTTGTGCGTAGTAAGCCAATATATGACGGCAAGGTAAACCGTTTTCAATAAAGAATGAACACGAACAACGACCAGTTTCGATATGTACACAGTACGTTCCTGTGGCGTCCGTTGCCATGAATGATTCTTCTGACAATACAGACTGCGTAATAGGAATGCGCAGGTGTCGCTTCAGTAGTTGACAGGCAGCTGGTGTTAGTCGTTCCTGAAGTCGACCAATGTCCGCTTTCTTACGACAATCCGTCGAATATTTCTGTAATCTTGCTTCCATCCAATAACCAATCCGAAGCAGAACACTAAAAATCGATCTGAGCACAGGTGTTTTACGATTAAGATTATACATCTTCAACACTCTGTGACTCAACTCTACGAAGTTCGTATTATTCAGTTGGAAAAGCGTTGCTTGCGGTCGGAAAGCACTCGCCCATTTGTGCTTCCTTGGTATAAGGTGTTCTCTGACGTATCTACCAAACGTTCCGTCAGACAGTTCAATTATGGAAAGCACATTGTTAAAACTAAAATATAATGTTATGCAAAATTTGATTTACCTTTCAACCGTTCGAGTCAACATAAGACGAAAGAACAGCTGCAGAATTTCTGATCTAACCCTCTACATAAACGGTTAATGAGATAATGTTAATGAACTGTCCACTTACCCTCTTTATCACATTCCTAAGTAGGTGTACGCGGCACAGAATATGGTGGGCATTGGGAAACACATGCGCGATAGCAGAAGCTATCGCAGGTGAGTCATCGGTCACGATTCCTACCAAGTGTCGATTGTTTGTACACCGTTGGAAAAAACTCAGGAACGTAGAAATTAACGTTGACGTTTCATTACTTAAAAAGGCAATGCAGATGGGTATTGCCTTAAAATTCATGTCCAGTGCAACTATTTGATATAAATGGACGTTCTGGTTATTCGTTTTGTACGTCCCGTCAAAACCAATAACGTTACTGAAGTAACCAGCCCAATTCAATTGCTCGGCAGTCATAAAGAAAAAATACGATAGACAGTTCTCTTCGTCTAATTCGTATTCGCACAGCCCACCCAAGGATATTATGTGAGCTTGTAAGTTGCCGTAATCACCTATGGGGTACACTATAATTTTGCAAATTGCTTACCTGGTAGGTTCGCGTTTGAGAACAATTTATACCGCATATTACATATGTCCTGATCAGTCAGTCGTTTACCATATGATTGGTAAACAAAATGCTTGACGTGGAATGCTCCTGTACCAGATATCAGCAGTGGTTTAACAGCTTCAAGCTCACCATTCGTTAATCTACGCACCCATGAATTACCTTCGTACGTGAGGGAACTGTACTCGTGATTGTGACGCACATTCCCACGTACGACAGTCCATATGCCGTCTACCATCTTACAAAATATGAAAGCCGGACATTGGGTGTTCAATGAAGCGCTTCGTGAAACAAATTATAATAACAAGAACCAATTTACCTCCTCCTCCTAATACGCTGTGACGAACCGTTAGATCTTGTACGCACGTTCCTCCAACACACAAATTTTATATATGAATTTTGATCTCGACTAATATGCGAATCTCGCACGACATAATGACTGTAACTCGACCTTTCATAATTGATGATAGCCGTCTTCAACGCTTCAATCGATGGAAAGGCAACAAGAAACAAGCTTGTTAAAAACACTTCATCCAGTTCCGTTACGTGAGAAACAACAGCGCTTGTACTTGGAACGTTACTGTCCTCCATAATGATGATTAAAATCTACATCATCGGCATGTACTCATAATTTATAACAACTTTCCAGACAAAACTAACCAATTACATAGAAGTTTTAAAACTACTAATTTCATTGGACGAAACAGGGGATGAAAAATATGGTAATTTGGGGGTGGAAAAAAATTTATAAGGGGGGTGGGGAACACTTCAAAAAATAAATTGCCGGTGGGATAAGATAATTCTTACAATCGCCATGCGTTCAGTTAAACCTGTCTTTGCTCGACCTCAGCCAACGGATATTTACGTTCAACTTGCCTTACGACATAATACACATGATTTCATACATCGCGATTTTTCACAATGGACCTTGGAAACTGCATGAGATGGACTCTTCAAAGTCCTTGACCACAAACTTAAGTACTACACCTTCGATAAACACGGAACTGACGGCAACATCAGCACCGATCGTCTTAAAGTCGATTACGAAGAAGAAAAGCCATATTATGTCAACATTCCTCTTGATAGAATGAACGATAAATGCCTCACTACCACGGTACCATCCCTGATAATTATTCACCATGACAAAGTTTCGCTAGAATCCGAAAACTGATCCAAAAAAATGCGCTTTGGAAGAACGGAAAGGTTTCCAGAACACGAAATATTACTACACTCAGAACACTGAACAAGTTTTTTAGTCTAGCTTTTCCCAACCCACAACTATTCAGTTGCATTTTCAATCGTTTTATACTATAGCATCAAAACAGTCAATCTTTTGGGTGTGCTTATAAACATTTATACTGTTTTTTTTCACACAAGTAGTCCATAACATACTTCTGGAGTAGAAATTTTTTACGCTGTCTCATGGTACGTATACCATATATACAAGATTTTTTCACACGTTTATCTTTCTTGCGTGATTACAAGTTTGTTTCGACACGCGCTTACATTTGCATTTGTTTTTTTTCAAAGCCGACTGTGAGTGATTAAAAATCGACGGACATGAAGACGGATCAAAATTTAATCGTAATTGTTTGTTGTTCTGTTGTACCATACGGCTCATTATATATTAAGATTAGAAAACCAGGTTCAGCTAGGCGTAGCAAGCTGTTAGGAAAGTGGTTACCAATCGCAAGTTCTCTGGTTGCGTTACAGGATCATTACTAACCCACTAGGGGGGACTGAGCTGTAGCGGGTAACAAATCCCCGAAATAAATAGGTCTGTAAGACTTCGGAATTGATGCTGACCTGATTATATTTGCTGGACACGCCCAAGCTGAAGACGATTGGTCACGCATCATCATCAGATCACGATTGAATATGCTCTACTATGCATCTCTTGCATCTACTACCCAGCTTCAATCAAACGGCCCTCAGAAAATCGACAATCTTCCAGATGTATCTTTTAACTCATTCGTCCCCGACTTCTGGTTTGGCTGGGTTTGTATCTTACGATCATAAAGGTCTCACAGACAAAAGCGTTGGGCAACGCGGAATAGCTGTGATATCTTTGAGATAGTCAATCCGCCCAGAACGCTTTTGAGACGTCTTGGAGTCCATTGTAAATTTTTGTTGTGTTGGGATGATTCAGCTAGTACAGATGGATAACAGGCCTGTTTGCTTCCAGGTAATCTGAATTCGCTGAGAACACAGTTACAGTAAGACTCATGATTAATTTTTTCCACACGAGGCACACAAAAAACGAAAATGATCAACCTGATACTCGGAAGTGCTAAATGTAACGTAATGTCAAGATAAAGATAGACTATATGGGTCAATGGCAATCATATATGAAGTATTAACAAACTGTAGACACATCTTTTATTTTTTAAGAGTTGATAAATGATGGAGTTTGCTGCCGGCTTAGCTTCCTAGTAGTTTTTTTATGAGGAAACTTGATATATTCTTACGAGTTAATGTTAGTATCTTAGTATGATTTACCAATCTATTTTCCTTCTTTTATCATTAATACATCTAGATTTCTATCTGGAGGTATTGATGATCTATTGCTAATAGGCACGGAAACCTGTTAAGCGAAAGCTTAATCTGTTCCATCCACAACCATTTGAACCACTTAACGTTGAGGCCTACTATGGTCTCTCTTGGTTTCTATGGTGTACTTTTGGTGGATTCTAATCATCAGAAAAGCAACATAAAACCTGTGGACTCTTTATTTTGTTTTTTCTGTTAGAGCAAGCTGGAAGTTTGATGGTCTAATGTACCGAATGTAACTGCAACTTTTCAATTACAGCGTTACGGTTGGATGCGGGTATTTTGAGGTCAGTGCTTACTGATTGCCCTGAGATGAGTAGTTTCCCATCACTGGAATATCGATCGCTAAAAAGAAAAGAACACTGTCCTCCAGATGTTTATTGTCAAAGGAGCGAGCAGAAAGAGGATTTGATGTGTGAGGATTTCGTCAAAGACGGTTTTAAATACACTAAACCAGTACGTGATGAATATGAATCATGTAAGGAGGAAAGTCGGTTTCTAAATTCAGACGCTGTTTGGAGCTTTTATTATAATGTTATGTTAAAGAAGTATGAGTGCTCCAACTTTCAAGATTTTAAGAAACGTCAAACCACTAATATCCGTGATACTGTTATTCCGGCTATTGATATGTACAAAGAACAGGTTTGTGATTGGTTTAGAGAGCTTTCTAGCAACGTTCCACTGCAAAACCTTGGACGTCGTGTGCCTTTTTTCAAAGATAAAGAAGAAATTTTACATGAGTTGCTTTCCAACAAAGTTCCTATAACTCGAGCATTATGGTTTATTAATATAAGCGTCATCCAGTCAACAGCAGTTGCTGAAACTGCAAAGAAAAAGCCAAGAGCACCTCAGGATCCTACTGCCGACTGGTCATCTACGCTCTGTCGCTTGCTTTCGCGTTCATTGGAGCCAATTTATGCACCCGTTAAGCATAATGAACTCATATCACTCTTTAATGATTGGGATTATCTTTTTTCGCTGCTTTTAGCCATGTATGATTCGGACATGGCAGACCACTGGGAAGTCATACTTTGGCTAATTAAAGTTGCAGAAAGTGTTAATCAACAAATTCATGGACAATCGTCACCCTCAACAGTTGCTTCATCACCTTCAGATCGTTCGGCACTTACTAGCAAATGTGCTTCTGATTTCCCTCTGAAGTTTATTTTGCATTACCTCATTAAATTTGGACGTCGGTTTACTGAGAGTGAATTGTTAATTCGAAGGCTACTTTACTGGTGTTGCACTACGTTTGCAGATGTTGTATTTGCTTGTACTGGATCTAAATATGCTCATTCAGTTGGTACATTACAAGGTATTTTAAATGAGTATAAGGATTTATGCACGTGCCCTCTACATCAAAATATTTCCACATCACTGAGTAGTTTAATTATCTTCATTGTATTAAGCTGTCCCTCAGCTGCGGTGTGGAATCCAATACCTTTTGATACTGATTACGCTTATTTTAAAGGATCACCTCTTGATCATATTCCACACTCATTAGTTGCACTTCCTCTACCATTTGGAGAGGAATCAACATCGATACGCAAGTGTTTGTCCGAAGTTGAGGAAGACATAATAAGACGTAGTCAGCTCGTTGAATCTGGTTGGCTGATTGAACCATGCTCAGGAAATAACGGCGAAAACGTAAGTACTTCTAATTTTATCTTGATAGAATAGACCTACTAAAATTCGTGTTATTACTTATTTGGTGTTACTACATTGAAGTTATTCCGTAGTATAAAGTAAACTTTATTCATGAATTATAATCATGTTTACTATTTCTTGTCCCTCAATACAATTATAACTCATGAACAACCAGTTCATATGGCATCACATTTAAGGCATATGTATGTGACTTATGAGAAACATAATCATCCTCACTAATTTAACGAGTTTCTGGGTTGTATTAGTGATGGTATAAGATTTAGAGCGATGTGGCATTCCCATTTAAAAAGGGACTTAGAGCCAGGCACATGTATACACTAGTTTGTTTCCGTACACCCAAATACCCTGGTACGGCCGAGGGTAAAGAAAAGTCCGCTCTCCCTGTTGAAATGTTCTCACATGGTCACGTGTATACAACCACTGCCAGGGAAGTCCTACTCACTGACTTCCCACCAACGGGGTGTTGTTTACGAAGTTGAGAGGACCAAAAGCGAATGTCCGTAGCTTTGACCAGGTTAGTGGATATAGAACATCCACCTAGAGGAATTGGAAAACCCTTATTCCAAACCAATGGTGTACATGGGCTACAGGATTTTGAGGGAATAAATGGTGTATAAATTTATTGTTGATCACCGGCTACTATGGGATTGCATCTCCTTACGATGCTCCACTGCCTTGTGGATCAGGCATTTAAGTCGAAGGATCCGGGTGTGGCCCCCTAAGAAAACCACCTGCTTCAGTTTGGATATTTGAGCACATAAATATTGGTACAATAGGGCACCAATTATATATGCGCCATAATGGCTAATAATTTTCATCACTGTCAGCGTAACAGTGATTCGAATCAATATCTGCTTGGATGACTGGAGTTATTTTGACTTTGTAACTTAGTTTTAAACTTTTATCTATGCTGAAGTGTTTTCAAAGCTTGTATATTATGTTAATTGCATCTTTTCATTTGATGAAAACAACATTGCAAATTTAGTTTCGTTTCATTCTACGTATTTTAGACTAAAAGTGTATGTTCCTTTATTTTAAACTCTTATTTACTTACAACTAAATAAATGTTGAAGCAAGATTTTATGGTTTTCACTGTAATGAACTCTCATTGTAATGATTCTTTCACTAAGGCATGCAATGCTATTTGATTTTTATTAATAGATATTATTCTAAAGGGTTATTTATATTTTCTTAATTCAAAAATGCTCTGTACAAAATGCAGTCACAATACTGGAAAAAAAGAGGAAGGCCGAAAATAATATTTATTAGAAGGTATGCTCTAGTTAAGGAAACAGCCGTGAGATGGATTTTACCATCAGAGAGACCCATTTTTAAAAATGAATCCAACGTAAAACTCCAAATGGACCACTGTTTCCAGTAACGTCTTAGGCTACTAAGTCGTATGATTTCTAGGACCTTAACCAAATAGTTGTAATCGACCAGCAAACATTATTCCTGTGTTATTTGTCTTTTTATCGATGTATTGTCATAAATTGATGTTACATAGGTTGATCACCCGTACATAGTGTCAAAGAGATTCACAGGCTTCATCTTCTAGTCCTAACCCTTATAAGATTAATTAGTAACAATTTTTCAGCATGTATTTACTTTTTGAATGTGAAGTTAATGCAAACAAATTAAATGTGCCGTAATATTGTAAGGGTCAACATTAGTGTTTAAAGCATAGCTTTCAGTCACCAGTTAATGTTCGCCGCACATAATTTAGTTTGGACATCCGGATAATAACGTTAGTCATTATACAAGTAGTTTTTCTGAAAGACGATCAAATAAACTTGTGTTTGGTAAATGATGGACGATAGTTTCCCCATGTGATCAATTTATGGCAAAGTTAATGAAGCAAGAACCCCTTCTGTCTGGAAATATATTCATCTGGGCTGCTAGACAAGTACAGTGTTTGAAAAGGGAGAGTGATATTTTTAAGTGTGTCGTGGAATAAAATACTGACTGTATTGCCGCTTTTGTGTCACTATAGAGATTTCTTTCATTATACTAAACCATTCATTTGTAATCAATGTAGAACCTGCCATAAATGTGTTAGCCTAAGTTCCCGTACCACATCAACACGACCACAATGAATTGACACTAGAGATGGTTAAGATTGGTGGTGAACTTTTAGCTACTGATCTGATTGAGACACTAGTTAGAGTTTGGGGTGGGACTTATTTTCATCTGACTGGTTGCTATCGCTAACTGCTTCAGTTTACAAGAGAGAAATACTTTCAATAACCACCGAGGGATCAGTTTAATTTAATTCTAGACTATAATCGTCCAGCCAGCTGCAACGTAGACCTGGGACAGTGTTTTGCGCACTAGAATCGTCGGCTATGGTGGTACTTGAGGAGGAAGCCAAAGGAGGAAGTTTAAGTTTGAAAGTAGATGTAAGAGGAATAATAAGAATTAAAGAGGGAGGTTGACTATGAATACAGTGGTCTTGAGTGCTGTTAGAGGTATGAGGGCGGTTGTCACTTCCCGGTTGCCCACACTGTGGAAGGGTTCTCCTGGAGGTGCCTGAAAAGGAAATTGGATTAGAGGTGGTCATAGTGACCTGAGAGCGTGACCGCAGTGCCCAAGGGACAGCTGCTTGAGGTCGGTCACATACGACCTTTTTATGAGTAATTTTTGTGTTAGCTCCGTACTTGTTGAGAGCTTACCACCGGAGACCGATATCCGTGGGATAAGGCGAGGTGTTCATTTTTAGGGTCGACCTTTTCTAACCCCTCCCCTCCTTTTGGGAAGGCAGCATCGCTGTCATGCTGGTTGTCTGAAGGAAACACCCTACTGCTGTCACACCTCTGTACAGTCAGCAGTACGACTTCACTGTCGGACCTTGGTTTTGTTGCTTTTAATCTTACCGCTCTTCAACCGACCTGTCTGGCATGGTAGGACCTTGAGGAACGGTTGTTCCAGCCAGTATAGCTCAGTTGCTTCATCACGATAGGCAAGCCCGACCATCACGTCAAGGTAGCAACAACAGTCGGACTATAATCATCCAACACTTACCTAAGGGTCGTAAAGAACAAACGGCGAGACTCTAATTTAAGGACGAGCCAATCAGAAGCGTTTGAGCCATTTCAAGGTCTCGGAGCCAAGTTTAACGCATGATGCTCACATGCGATCGGTTTACAGCGGATTTTAGAGAAGAGGTTATTATTGAGAAGCTACAAGAGATGGGACTACTAAGAAGTTCTTGTACGTGTGACTGCGGTTATCAGATGACTGCAGTAAAGTGTGCAGACCACCGCGGTGAGATTATATCCCGTTGTCCTTCATGTTGGAGGAAAAAGTCTGCTAGAACGGGGACTTTCTTTGCTCGATCGCGACTGAAATTGAGACAGATCATGATAATAGTTGCGAGTCGGGTAATAAAGACACCAGTAACACTGGCTGCGGCATTCGCAGATGTTACTGAAACCTCAGCAGTCCAGTGGTATGAGTACTGTCGTGACACTTGCGCAACTAAAATGACAAGTATACACCAATCATTCGGAGGAGTAGGATGTATCGTGGAGATAGATGAAACGGTAGTGAGAAAGATAAAATACAACAGGGGGCGTAGTATAAAGGAAGATTGGGTAAGTAGCATTTTCGTAAATATACTTGACAGATATTTGGGATTTATGGTAGATCAACTCGAAAGGGACATTTTCAGATGGTCAAAAACCGGCAAGCAATCACAATAATACCAATAATACAGGAATACGTGCTGCCGGGTACTACGATATATACGGATGACTGGAGAGCATACAGATGTCTTCAAAGACTTGGATATGTCCATCACGTTGTAGTCCGTAAACGTCATTTCGTTGACCCTACAACCGGGGTTCATACTAATAACATTGAAGCGATGTGGTCAAGAACGAAGGAGTTTTTAAGACCATATCACGGCTCCAAAGGTCGACTATTATGGAGCCATATGAATAAGTTCTTATACCGTATGCAATATGATTTCAAAACATCTGAACCTTTATCAAATCTTAAGTTTTTAAATCATATAAAAGAAGTATATCCACTGTAGTTCTTCAGTTTCTTCTAATATATTTTTACTTTATACTAACTGTTTTTTGATTGGCTAATATTCTCAAGGTCATTTAAAATTCGTTCAGAGGTCGTCCCTAAATTAGAGTCTCGCCGAACAAACTATAAAAAACTAAATATTTACTCTTCGTCAGGTTTCAGAATATAAATGTACCGACGCCAAACTATATTTACTTTTCTTGACATGAGGGCAGCATTCGACTTAGTTGACCAAGAGGTTTTGTCGCAAATGTTTTCAGTGAGAAGTATACCAAAGAAGTGCATAAATCTGAGAGCTCTTTACTCAGATACTGTTAGTCGAGATAGAGTTTGTGAGGAACTATTGTGGGGCCCGTTATTTTTACGTATTTTATATCGGACGATGTTTGTTGACGGGTTCTCGCTTCTCGTCTCTCTGAGCTGAGATTATGTGTAGCATCTGTTCTTTGCAGTGTAATTTCTGCAAAGGTCTCTAAACTGAGACCAATCAAATTACCTGTATTTTTCACCTCCGGACGGGTGCTATGAGCTTGCACAACCCCGTCCACGGGTCGGCCTCTTATCGCATTACCTCTAGGATTAGCCCATCAATCAAACAATACAGTTGTCTTCATCATCAATTTAAATGCCCCTAAATACCCTGGTACGGCCGAGAGTGGGGAGAGTCCGCTCTCTCTCGAAATGTTCTCACGTGGTCACGCGTATATAGCCTCTGCCAGGGAAGTCGTACTCACTGCCTTCCCACCAACGGGGTGTTGTTTATGAAATCGAGAGGACAAAAGGCGAATGTCCGGCGCTTTAACCGGGTTGGTGGACATGGAGAGTCCACCTAGAGGAATTGGAAAACCCTCATTCCAAACCGATGGTGCACATGGGCTGGCTCCAGTATCCTGAGGGAACAAATGGAGTATGAACCAATCGTTGGTCATCGGCTTCCGTGGGAC